CCAATCGGGTGCGGGTTTCTCTGCGAATGCTAATACAGAACACTTCTGACCTGCAAAGTCAATTGGGAAGTCAGATTCACTTAACAACTGTCCTGTTTAGCAAGCAGAAATTTTGGATTCAGTAGTAATTGCAAGTCAAGGACTATCTATGTCACTTTCATTTTTCAAATCCTCAAAAGGACTGAATCCTTTGCTTTATTTATTCAAAGCAAAAACAACATCACACCAAAAAAATACAGTCTAGATCAAGGGTCGCCATTTTGGACCTTAAGGACCACCAAACTCATAATTTTAAATCCCGTGGACCAGAGAGCCTGGGAAAATCCCCCCAAAAGTCTGCAGGAAAATTCCAGTTTTCCTACTGATCATTCTTTATTTGGGATCGTAGGATACAGTCTCCAGCTCTGTTCTCGGGTGGGGAGAGAGAGACTTTTGACTTCATGCAAGGAAAGCAGCAGAAGTCTTTCTTTCTCTTCCCCCAAACTCCACCAGAAATGAAGCTTTGTGAGACTTGTCCCGCCGACGCAGTCTCTCAGAGGATACCTTGCAGGGTCCCAAAGACTCATTTCTGGCGGAGTTTGAGAGAGAGAAAGACAGACTTTTGCTGCTTTTCTTGCATGCAGCCAAAAGCAGAAGCAGAAAGAAGCAGCCCAGTGGCCAGGCCATGCACATGGGGCAAGTTTCCCCCCTCCCCCTTCCCTCACTACCTTGTGTTGTTCGCAATGCAAGCGACGCAAGCCTTGTGTTCCCATGGACCATGTGGGCAGCGCAGCCTTGTGTTCCTGCGCCGCCTGGATTAATTGCCTTGGGGGTGCTCTGAGGGTGACATTTCTCTGTGAAGCACCAAAATTTTCTCATGGACCATCAGTGGTCCATGGCCCACTGGTTGGCAAACACTGGTCTAGTTCACTCCAAAAAAGAAATATTTCACCCAATATTATGATAGTTTTATGCAATCTTGTTGCTAGAATCTATCAATTTAGAAAGAGCAACAGAAGTCACAATGTTCAGCTCATTAACATTTCAGAAAAATCTGATTTTGCAGGTCTCTGAATCTGAATCTCACATTCAGAATAAAAACAGTTGTTTTGCTACAGAGCTGACTAGCATCTAGAACTGTGACTCCTAAATGAGCAAAAGCGTATTGTTGTGTTCCTTCCTAGAAGGCAAACATTTGACAGACATGATAAACTCTGCGTGTATTCTGATGAATTCATATAGGAGTCCTCTATGCAAAAGGTTTCAAGTCTCTCCCCATCAACATGTTAAAAAAACTCTCTACAGTTTTTTAGCCTTAGCAGCTTGAAGATAAATGGACTTCAACTGCCAGAATTCCCCAGCCATCATGCATTTTGGGGAATTCTAGAAGCTAAAATCCACATATCTTCAATTTGCCATGGTTGACAAACACTGCTCTACACTCAGACATCTGTAGACCTATAGGCACCCTTACCCAGATGAAAAACAGTCCACTACTTTCCTCAAACCTGAGGCTTATTCAATTGGTATGTATATATAAATATACCAAACAGTTTCATATTAAGCTAGTGTGTTACTCCCTTTAGCCCTAGGATGCAGTCTAAAAACTCTAGTCACACCAGAGCCTTGAGTGTGACCAATGTAGACTTTGCTCAACAACCAAGATTACAGTCCCAACTGTGGTCATAGTCAAGGATCATTATTACAGGATAATAAATAATAACATTCATGCCAAAGTTAATTAACCTTAAAGTCAATTCAATGTTGTCTCAACCATACCATGTATATTCCCATCCACTTTTGGACTTTGCCTTCTCTCAAAATACTAAAAAGCCTTAAAGGTTCTGTACCATTCCACTATAATCCATGCTGATCTAGAGTGAAGTATCTACCAATGGAAACTAATTAAACTACTGTTGCAAAATCTGCAAATGTATGCAGGCAAAGAATATGTTCTTTGCATTATGCTATGGTCTAAATTATTTGTAACTTAATGTATCATTATAGACATTTTCATTACTACGACATACAACCCGTTATTTAGTTCAAAAGCAAAAACTGATTCAACATGCTTATTTTTTTTTAATTGAGAACGTAGTGGAAATCATTAAGAGGTTTTATTAAGACAAATAAAACATCTTTTTTTGAGAGTAGCATGATCACGGGTTGTCATTTCTTCATACAGACACAAATTCAATTTCATGTTCATCTTTGTGTTCTATTCCATATTTTATTACTGTTTAACATTTTCTACAGTTTTTCCCCTCCTTTGATTTTCTCAACTTTATTTTTAATTATCTCATATCTCAATTCAAATCATTATATTTGTACTTTTGTCTGTCCTGTTTATTATCTTTATTTTATATTTATTTGTATTGTTTCTTTTTGCGAAAACCCAGATAAAATTTATATTAAAAAAAGAAGTTTTATTAAGAGAATGTATTCTTGCCAATGAGTTTCTGTTACGTTGCATATTTTTGGACTTTCAAAATTCATGTATTTTCTAAATACCCCATCTTTGTAAAAACAATTGTTTTTGAATGTCAGCTTTATGAAACTGTACATAACTACTTCCTTCACTTTCTCAAATAAATTCTTATATTGAGACTTTGGTTTAATTTATGTGCAAAATCAATTGATGTAAATACTTATGATAAGGCTATTTAATGAAAGATTTTAAAAAATTAGCTAGCAGTCATAATTATTATTATTTAGAATACACCAGCATCTTTTTCTATAGATGAACATTAGAAAATATCCAAAATGTAACTGAACAGTTGTGAGTGCCTTTTAATGAAGAGAAGTGAATATTTTAGGAAACTGAATAGAGTTTCCTAATCCAATGATGGAACAGCTTTGTCTTGGACTGTATCATTAATCAAGATAAGGACTGCCTTAATTAATTATGAAAGATTTTTTTCTTGGCAAGTATTATCTTTCATATTTAAAAAAACAGATGGTGTCTCATAATAAAAAGATTTGGATTTTAAAATTGTGATCTTTGGATTTTTTTCATAATATTATGAAATGTAGATACTTAAGTGTTCTGCAACAACTTCAAGGAACATACTGCTCTTATTCACATGGCTGAAGTTCTAATTCTGAAAGACCCTGCTGTGAAACTGACGATCTACTACTATTCCTTAAGAAATCTCTGAGAATACACTGTATATAGACAGTTCATACACCCATTTAAATGCCAGATATTTGAAACATAAACATATCAGACCAAGATAAATCACTTCAGAGTTCTTTCCACCTTTAATATAATATATAGATTGTACAACTCAATTGAAAAACAAACTGAAATCTTCTAGGAGGAAAAATAACAATAAAAATTTACAATAACATGGTTGCATAAAAATACTCTGTTGAAGCACCTCTTGATTTTATGACACCATTTAGTCTTTTACGGAAGGAGCCTATAAGCATGGTACATTTTGTCTTTACCCATTCTTCATGGCAAAAGTGCTTCAAATCTGTCAGAGCTTCTCCAGTGCACAGGCCCTCTTCAGGTCAGCCCTCAGATTTTCAACTGGATTCATGTCCAGTTGGACTGGCTGGGCCAGTCCAAACCCCATCTTCTGATGAAGTCATTCTTTTGTTGATTTGGAGGTATTGTTTGGGTCCTCTTCATCTTTAGCATTCTAGCAGAGGTCTGAAAGTTTGGGGCCAAAATAGATCAATATTTGGAGCTGTTCATAATTCCCTCCACCTTGACTAAAGGTTCAGTTCCAGCTGAGGAAAAGCAGCCCCAAAGCATAATGCTGCCACCATGCTTCACTATGGGTATGGTGTGCTTTTGGTGATGTGCAGTGGTGTGTTGTTGTTTTTTTGTACCAAAAATTATTTTTGGAATTATGATCATAAAGTTCAACCTTGGTCTCATCAGAGCCTAACACATTTTCCCACATGGTTTTTGCATGTAGGTTTTTGCAAACTGTAGCTGGAATTGGATGTTTTCTTTATAAGAAAAGGCTTCCATCTTGCCACCCTACCCCCACTGCCCAGACATATGAAAAATACAGGAGACTGTTGTGATGTGTAGTACACAATCTATACTTGCCAGAATTTTCTGCAGTTCCCTTTAATGTTACTGTAGGCCGCTTGGCTACTGCTTGGACTAGTTTTCTTGGTTTTCTCGTCAATTTTGGAGACATCCAATTCTTGGAAATGTCACTGTTGTGCTATTTTGTCCACATGTTGATAACTGTCTTCACTGTCTCCCATATTATATTCAATGCCTTGGGGGGAAAAAATGTACCCTTCTCCTGCCATATCTTCTAAAAATGAGATCGCTTTGCAGATCGCTTTGCTTTTGCTGTATAAGGCAGCTGAGTAAATGTCAGTAAAATCCTACTTGCACAGCTCAACTTTATAGGGGCTTGATAGTCACTTGAATTGATGGCAGGTGTGAATTATTTAATATAAGTTTGAATGTGATTGGTTAATGCTGGACACAGCCACATTCTTACTTACAAGAGGGTATGAACACTTACACAGCTACATTATTCTAGTTTTTATTGTTATTTTTCTCTCAAAAAGATTTCAGTATGTTTTTCAATTAAATTGTACAGCTTATATATCATATTAAAAGTGGAATGAATTCTTACTAATCACTTTTGGAAGTTTCTTGTTAATTCCTTATCAATTATGATGAAACTTTCAATAAGTTTCACAAAACTGGGTAAGTGTCCTTCAGTCCTTAATGAATGAAGTCTTAACTTCACGTATAAAAACTTGAAAGAAATATCTAAATAAAAAAAGCATTATTTAAAAAGTTGGATTTACAAAGGTGCAAATGGAATAAAGATCCAAAGAAATAAGATTTTGGAATTAACTACAAAGAATCTTTCCCATGAGAAAATAATTTCAATTTGAATTTAAAAGTCATACTAATATAAACTTTTAAAAATTGGAGACTAGAGAGAACTGCAAATTATAATTAAGGGAGAAGAACATTTAAACTCAATTTACAGAATAAAGCTAAATATTTTAACATTGGATATTAAAGGATATTTTTGAATAATAAACTCAAATGTTAATTTTAATAGAAAGTGCCTACAGATAGATTGTAGACCGTAAACTATAACAGAAATATGTTATAGAAAAGGAAGAAGTTCTGACAATTGAGATTGACAAGAAAAAAATGTTACACTGTACAAAAATAAAATAGCTGATTCTTAATAATGAAAAGGGATATACAAATAAACCAACTGAATAATTTTCCTATATTGGACTTGTCAAATAAGTAGGTGGCACAACTTTGAGTGAGCTAGGTAATAACCTTGGAGGCAGAAGGAAAACGCAAAACAACAGAGGAATGAAAATGAGAGAATGAAATTTACCAAGACAAATGCAAAATTCTTAAGAAAAATATGCAAAGGTATATGAGACCAATTTTGGTAAGTATTTCTGTAAAAAAGATGCTAGGGTTGTAAGTAATCATAAGCAGTACTATAATCATCAATGACATGGTTATGTAAAATGTAGGTTCCATCAATTGATTGATCCATCAATCAATCAGTTTCTGAATCACATATGATTTGCTCTACTCTGCATTGCTCAGACCCCACTCTTATAGCAGCTCTCATATACTCTAGTAATGTCCCATTAATCAAAGCAAATAAATTAAAAGTCTACTTTTGTTAAGCCTGAAGCCTTAGGTTTCAATTTTTTCAATTTAAAAAAACAAACATATTTTTGTTCTTGTACTATTTTCATTTCCACTTGTTAATCCTAATACTAATGACTGATAAAAAGAGGAACGAGAATAAAATAGTTGTTCAATTAATCTGCATTCCATGACAAACAATAAACACTTGATTTTATTTCAATTATTGTGCCAATCATAATCTGTACCAAGTAAATCAGCAGTGGAAAAAGTGGGACATGAGCATAAACTATATATAAAAAATAGTAATTTAATTACCTGATGCTTGTTCTATAGCATGTTATGAAGCACATCCACCTGTCTGTCATCTTGCAGATCTGTGTGTGTGTGTGAGAGAGAGAATCTATGCATACATACATTTATTTAGAAAACAGAATACATGGAAATTGCAGCAGTTGGTCTAGGACAATCTGCTTTTTTTTCTTACAGCTTACATGTTGTATTTTATGAACATGCGGTTTATAAAGTTTTTAAGATTCCAGAGCAGTATGAAAAAATGGCAATTTTAATGGCCCCTAATTTAAATTTGATTTTATACAGTCATTTCTAGTGAAAACAATTGTTCAACAATAAACATTTCTTACATTAGGGATGCATCTACTATGAGGGCCCAAGGCTGCTGCTGAATATGCCCTCAGCAGTACAATTTGGTTTTATAAAACACTGCTTAAACATAGAGCATCATCAATGTAACTTGGAATGCACTCTAACATAGAGTACAAAATAACAACACTACTAAGTGCAAATCTAACCATCTACACAAGAGGGAAAAGTGCAGTGATTAGAAATATGCATGTGGCCTAAAACAAGATCTTCATATAATAGCATCTTTGTTTTGAATTTCTGAATGGCATCACATACAAAGGTGAAAACATAAACCAGTTATTTCTTGTACATGTAGCTTTTTTTTAAGTACTATGAACTTGAAAAAAAAGTTGGTGTTAGGGAAATCAAATAATCAGGAATTGGAAAATACTATCTGAGCTTATTCCAATGTAGCCATGTGTCTCTCTTCCAGTAGTTTTCATAAAGCAAACAGAAAAAGGTTGTCCTCTGATCTTTAGTAAACAATATCACTGCAATGATTCAAGGCTGCCACAGGGTTCCAAATCTGTCCGATATTTTGTACACAACTGAAAAGTCTACCCACCCACCAGGAAAAGTGCACTTTCAATAACAGTTATAAAAATAGTTTGGCACATTGTTGACACAGTGACAATATAATCACAACGCATCATTGATTTTGATCCATCGTTAGGTGGACATCAGCTCTAGCAGGAAATGCATCCAGTTCCAAATGGGTCAACAGGATAATTTTCAAAAAGTGTAAAAGAAAGGTGCTAATACTCCTCGTTCTTCCATGAATTATTTGGGCAACCCAGTGAAGTTCTTTTTTGGTCCACAATTTATCATATGAATGTTCCACCCACTGTTCACTCATATGTGAACTCATTCAACATTTGCACTGAGTAGCTAAACAGTTCATCTAGCCTGAGAAGTCTTAAGGAATTCACTGCTTTATTCCTACTATCCGGTTGAAAAGCTGCATTGAAAAGAGAAGAAAGGGCACTGGGGCTTCTGCATCCCATTTTTTTTTCGTTTTTGCATTTTCAGTAGTAATTTGCTGCTCTTCTGAGCAAAATAGACAATAGTTTTTAAACCCCTCCCCCTTCTTGGAAGGGTAGCTTGTGCTAGGAATTCTGGATCAGACGTCTGTAATGTGGCATCACTTCGTGTTCAGGTAGATGAAGAGCAAATTCCAAGGCCACTAACACCGGGAACTCAAAGGCAATCAGTTCTCGCCTATTCAAGCGGAACTTTTCTTCCAGTTTCTGTAATATAGTCAACAGTTACAGCTTAGTATTTTAGGATATTAATTATTGGAAAGTACTTAAAATAAGTTCCCCTAATTTTATTTATTCATTAAAATAGCCCAGCCAGTTTGATCAAGTCAGGGTTGGCGCATGCCAGGTTCATCAATTCAACAATGCCACCTCCAGGACCCTCAAAGTGTATATTCTCCATAGCAGTTCCTACCCAACTGGTATTTTAAAGGGTCCTGAAGACATGGCTGTTTGGCTAGGCTTTTAGTGAGGTCATTTGAAGACTCTTTCTTTTCCTTGTTGTATGCTCTGTCACCCCTGCTCTTTTGCTATGTGTTTATTTTGGTTTTGTATTGTTCCCTATGTTTAACATTTTGTAAGCCGCCCAGAGTTGCTGTGGAACAGCATAAAAATTTAATAAATTATTACTATTATGAAAATAGAATTTCCTAATAATTTTAATTGTTTTTCAAACAAATGTCATACTTGATGTAATGACCTCTGAAGAAGACTTCAGAGGATAATTAGGACTGCAGAAAAAACAATTACTACCCACCTGCCTTCAATCGAGGACCTGTATACTGCACCAGTCAAAAAGAGGGCTGTGAAAATACTGACAGACCCCTCACATCCAGGACATAAACTGTTTCAACTCCTTCCCTCAAAACGACGCTATAGAGCACTGCACACCAGAACTAGACACAAGAACAGTTTTTCCCCCAAAAGCCATCACTCTGCTAAACAAATAATTCCCTCAACATTGTTCAACTATTACAAAGTCTGCACTATGATTACTGTTAATCTTCTCATCACTCTTTATCGCTCATCCCCTCCCACTTGTGATTGTAGGACTGTAACTTTGTCGCTTGTATCCTTACGATTTATATTGACTGTTTCCTAGTATGATTTGATTGCTGATTGTACCCTATGACTATCATTAAGTGTTGATTCTTGATTGTTAAGAATCAAGAATCATCACTTAATGATAGTCATAGGGTACAATCAGCAATCAAATCATACTAGGAAACAGTCAATATAAATCGTAAGGATACAAGCGACAAAGTTACAGTCCTACAATCACAAGTGGGAGGGGATGGGTGATAAAGAGTGATGATGTATGTATACTGAGTGATTTTATGTATACTGAGAGTATTTACACCAAGATAAATTCCTTGTGTGTCCAATCACACTTGGCCAATCAAGTATTCTATTCTATTCTATTCTATTCTATTCTATTCTATTCTATTCTA